GAAATTAAGGAGTTAAAATTTGAAGTAAAATTTTTTTTTATGAAGTTATAAGTAAAAGAGTTATTACAAATATAATTTAAAAAATCGAATCACAATTAAAATAAAGTATTAAATTCATATCAAAATCACTTAATTAAATCATACAAACAAATTAACTAACAAATCAATATATAATTAGATAAATTAAACACAAAATTAGATCAAATTCATTTATGATAAGACTTGACCTATAATCTCAAAATTTTGAAATTCTTTCTTTATTATTACAAAAATCTCATTTTAAAAAGTTGAATTTACCTTTAAGTCAGTTAGTTTTGGAGGATTTTGAAAAATAATTTGATAGGGTAACAGTTAGGAATAAAAGTCCCTTACTACCTATTACAAAGTTGGGCGTGTAATACTCTGATTTATGTTAGACCTTAAGCAATAAATACAATAACGCAAAAACAATCTCATTCTCTTCATATAAATTATTTATGCTCATAAATCAAATGACATAATTTTTTTATATTTGATATGTATTATTTCCCTTTTTAAATTGTAGAGATTAATATAAATAATAACAAACTGAATTCCAATATTTTTCGAAGTTGAATAGCTTAAAAGTCTATCAATTTGACTTATCACGCAAATATTTGAATTAATTAGATAACATTATAGACCAAAAAATATATATATATACACGTGTCACGGACTTAAGAAAAAGTCTTGAATCTCACATCGAACATAATGTGAGGGTCATTAGGGTATAAAAAAGTTCACACCATCTCTGTCTTGTGAGATACCTTTTGTAGGATAAAATCATGAGGTCAGGGGGGCTAGAGCGGATAATATCTCATAAGGGTGTGAACTGTGACGATTAGGCTGATCTGAGATGTCGGATGAGTGGATGCTCGGGTCTCGAAACAGTGCGGGTTCGAAGCTTAAGTCTTGACCTGTGACAAGTGGTATCAGAGTCAGTCCTAAACCGTCTGACCCACGCCAAACGTCTCGAAGGAGGTAGGCAGGGTGATCAGCCTCCGTGACGATGGCGTCATAAAGTTGGGTGGGGGAGAATGTTATAGACCTAAAGAAGAGTCTTGAATCTCACATCAAACATAATAGGAAGGTTACTGGGGTATAAAAGGGTTCACACTATCTTTACCTTATGAGGTGATTTTTGTATGATAAAACTGTGAGATCGGAGGGGTCAGAGCAGATAATATCTCATAATGGTGTGAACCATGACAGGAAGGTTGATCTGGAAGGTCGGATGAGTGGATGCTCGGATCCCGAAGCCATGCGGGTTCAGAGCTTAAATCTCGATCCATGACACACGCACATGCATCCTTGAACATGATGTTATACATGTATGCTTAATTCAATTCCCAAAAACTAATTAAAGCCAATATCGATCCCACAAAGTAAAAGTTAGGTTAGGGTTGGGTGGTTTGATTTGAAATTATGATTGTCTTTTACAATTAAGTTCTAAAGTAAACATGATTAGAGGATTAGTTAAGGGTGAACAATATATGTAACAAATGAGGCACATTAATGATTATATTTATCCAAAAATAATAATTTCACAAATTCTATATATTGAGAGCTACTAAATTCACTTTATGCCCTGAATTTTTTAATTTTTTATAAGTGAAATTATTTAATTATTCTTTTTATAAATTTTTGGAGATTTATAACTTTTTGAAAATAGATTTTTGAAAAATTATATAATTTTTCACAAATAAATTTTTGGAAAGTCATATGATTGAGTAATAAAAATTTAAGAAAAATTACAAAAAGTGAAATTTTTTTTAAATTTTTATTAATTAGTTTAATTAAAAAATAATTAATAAAAATCATAAATTTTAAAATTTATAAAGAAATTAATTTTACTATTTTTATTTTTTTATAAAATTAAAATTTATATTTTTTAATAAATATTTTTCTTGATATCAATTATTAAAATTTTATAATAGTTCTAACTAAACTAAATTGCTTGAAAAAATCTCTCCATTCATTTATCACAATTGATTTTTTCAGGTAGTATATTAGATTTTAACAAAATTGTGTAGTATTAAGTAATATTATTTGTACAACTTTTAAGAGTTTCAATTTTAAGATGTTAATCAGACTTGATAATTTCTTCATTATCGCTTGTAATATCAAGAGACGAAATGTTTAATTAGGATTTCATTAAATTTTATTTTTTTTAGGTCAAAGTAGTAAAATCAACTTATTTTTTATTAGTTTTAAAATTTATAATTTTTTAAAATAATTTTTTATTACATTAATTAATAAAAATTTTTAATAAAATTTCTTTTTTTTTGTAATTTTTCATAAATTTTCACTACCTCTTAATTTTCCAAAATTTTTAAAAAGGATTATAATTTTTTGCAAAATTTATTTCTAGAAACTTCTGTGAAAGAAAAAAAAAGATAATTAAATAATTTAACTTACAAAAAAATTAAAATAAAAAAAGTTAGAGTGTGAAGAAGAAATGCTAGTGTACAATTAGTCCCTCTCTAGATATATTTCTATGATTCAAGCTTATGGCATAGATTTACCTAAATAGGACGGATCCAAAAGACACAGTTGGATGTTTATGAATATCTTTAAAAATTAAAATTTTAAAAAAATTCTTTAGATATTGTTATACTTTTTTCTGAATTTTTTTATTAATAAAATTAATAAATTCATCAATAATTGTTTTTATATATATTATAAATAAATATTTTTATGAACAATTTTAAATCCACCTAAAACGAACCTAACCTATGAGCATGACTCGAGATCCGCCTCACAATTTGAGACCAAAAGGACAAATTAAATAGGTTAATTGATCAGCCAGAGAAAACAGACGAAATTTGAATCCCTTTCAGCTGCATGCATGTCACATCCAGCTAGCTACCACAGCAGAAAAAAAAATTACAAAGTACAATCCAATTTAATCATAATGGATTAGTTGATATATTGGTTAACCTTATTCTTAAAAAATTCGTATACTATACTTGTTAAATTGTCAATTTAACTAAAAAAAAAAAGGGTAATATTGATAATGAAAAATTTTAACTCTACAAATATATTTATAATTGCTCATTCATTCATGTGGCATGCATTTAAAGTCACTTATAGATCTCATTTGAAGGGGTTAAATTCATGTTGTCGGTTGGGACTGTTGTTGGGTGAAAACCCTTTTTCATAGTACTGCATCGTCCATTCATAAGGATACTTAATCATTAATGATTGCAATTACTTAAAAAAAAAAAAGAAAAGAAAATAATTCAATGTACTAATTAGCTGAACAGTTTTGTGAAAACTTTGAGATGCAAAAAATTTGGCCTACGTAGTTTGCTTGCTAAAGCTCATTGTTTTCCTAATAAGGTTTGGAAATCCAAATCAAATGGTTTCAAGCTGGTTGAAGAGTCTTCCTCTTTTGAAGATCTTTAAATGGGTATTAAATTCATTTTCAAGATTTGGGTCATCTATAAACAACAAAGTTTCTTAATTTTGGGGACAGTTTGGTTCAAGTGGAAACATAATCTAAATGAGCGATTAATGCAATTTCAATGTTATAGCTGGTGATATGAATGCAACTTAAGAATATTATACCATAATATATATTTTTTTTTGTAAAAAGCATGTTTTTCATTATACCATAAGAATAATATGTGACTAAATTACTAAAGTTAATCTAAAATTTCAATTCTTGATTAACTAGGGTAACCTAGAAAATCCCTAATAATTATATTTACACTCTTATAGTTTAAGGTTACAACTTTTCCACCGACATGTCCTAAATAATTGTACACAATTTTAAAAGATCAATTAAGCAAGCAAGTACATATGTTTCATAATTCAAAATTTGAACATAAATTAACTTATATAATTAAGCATGATTAAATCTTAATTAATTATATCTATACTAAAATATAATGCAACTTAATAAATTGTTGTCAGTGTCGCCATATTTTTTTTCTTATTGAGTAGTTCACTTTTTTTTTTTTTTTTCAAATGAGAACTTTAACTTTTGCTTACTATATATATTCTTACATTTGCGTACGCTCTATTTTCGAATAAAGTTAGATTGTACCAACCACTTTTCCTATTTTGCCTTATTGTTTCAAATTGTTCATTAATTCACTCTATCATTCCGTAGTTTACAACATGAAGTAACAAGTACAAGCGTTTACAATGATGATTCCTTTGGTTGCGCGGTAAAAAGAGATTTTCATCGTAACAGAATTTTATTTTATTTTATTATTTTTTAAAGTTATATTTATAATTAATTATTATATCATTAAATAATTAATTAATAAATTATAATTTAATTGAACAACTAAATTCACATCTTGAATCTAAAATTTTAAAATTTTAAAATCTCCTCTTTATTATTAAATATTATTATTAAATCTCTAAAAATTAGATGATAAAAAAAATATACAAACGATTGACGATGCAATAAATTTGGCAACTTACAAATTTGCTGATATTTAAAAGATTAAAAAATTTATAAATTATTTTATTTTTCTTAAATAAAATTTTATATTTTTATTATATTTAAATAATCCCTTACCATTTGATTTATGTCAAAATAATTTCTTATTTTAAAAGAAAGATTTATTTAAGTATATATTAAAAATTAAAATTTTATTTAAATATAAATTAAAAATTTATTTTGATATAATAAAAATATAAAAATTTATTTAAATAAAATGATAGAATTTAAAATTTTTTTATTTTAGTCTTTATTTGATAAAGTATTACATTTTTAATTTTAAAGACGAAATTTTAAATTTTGATAAAAAATTTTTAAAAATTTAATAAAAAAATAATAAATTCTTTTTAAAAAGAAGGTTAACAGTTGCCAAAACAAAACTTCTACTCTTCCTCTAGAACTTGTAAGTACTAAAAGCCCAATAAAGTAGGTGGCGCGGAAACAGCGTCCTTCTCACTCCCTCTCAACTGAAAAACCGGTTTTTTTTTTAACTCTTCCTTTCGCTTTTATATTCCCTTCGTCTTTATTTCTTTTCTTCCTCGAAGCTATCTCTCTCTCTCTCTCTCTCTCGCTCACTTTTTTTTAATCTCTCCTCCTTTTGTTTCCCTCTCGTTTCTCTCATAAATAAAAAATATAAAAACAAAAAAAAACCCCAATCGGTTTCATTTCCCGCCGGAATATTTGCTCTCCGACCATTCCCAGACGATCTGTCTTTTCCTCTCGGCGATCACCCTCTCGGTTCCTTATTATCTTGAATTTCAAATAGTTTACGAATTTCTTAGGGTTAATTTTTGTGATTGAATCGTTTTGGAAGATTTTATAGCTCGATAAAGGTGAGAATTTTTTTTCTATAAAATAATTTCTTTCTTCTTTATCCTGAGATTTATGTTGCAATTAATTTTCAGCCTTCTGCTTTGATCTTACTTTGTAGATCACGGAATTAGGCTAACAATAAGTTAGTTTAAAGTGATTTTGTGTTGCTATTTTTAGCAATTGGATTCAATGAACAATCTCTGCAACTTTCTCATAGAGATTTACATGAACAGTTTTTATATTTCACTGTATTTTTGTCTTCAATTTTAGAGACATAACCCTGTCAAATACAGACATGATTATGATTTTGGATTCTTTTCGTTAAAATAATTAAGGCCCATTTTAATCATTGCAATTTTAATCAAATTTTAATTTTAAAGCTGTCATCTTTACTGTGGTTTCCATCGATTTTCGTTCCTCAATCTGGAAATACAAAATAAAAAATTCCCAGATGGTCAATTCAGAGAAAATTTTTTGATTCAAGAACGATATTTCTAGGAATAACAACTATGTTTTTATCTGTATTATTATGGTACAAATTTTTAATTTATATAAAAAATTTTAAACTATTATTTAATGTTTTTAGTGTAATTCATGGGGATGGACAATGATCTTCCTTGGACGTGGTCCTTCATTTCTCTTCCCGTATCTTCAACAACATTAGCACTGCAAAACTTCAATCTTCTTCTTTTTTTTTCCAATTATTTTAAATGTTTATTTCCTAATTTGTTAATTGCATTTTAAGTTTTTAATTATTGTGTTAATTTTACTGTCATTTAGTTAATCAAACATATGATCCCGAGGTAAAAATCCCATGTGATCAAATTTTTCTTTTTTCTTATTGGAAGATAGTATTTTTTTAAAAAATTTTTGCTGCAATTGTTTGTTGGTATCATTTTCATTGAATTCCCTTTCATGGAAGAGAATGAAAGGAAGAGAAGAAGCCAGAGTGGGGCTGTGTATTTGTTTTTGTGAGTGAAAATCAGTGAACCCCATTGTGTTTTTTTTTTTTTTCAGCCCAACCGACCATGGCATTCCCGTGAGAAGGACAAAAGAGAAATATTAACATTAAACAATTTGTGACCTTTAGAGCGAGAAGGGTCTCTCTCTCTCTCTCTCTCTCTCTCTCTCACACACACACACACACACACCCCCAAACTTATCCTACGCATCTTTCTTCTAGCTGTCTTCTTATCCTGCACCTCACCACCATGAACCAAAAAACCAGTACATACATAGCAGTATAGTTTCTCAAGTCTTCGCTTAGGGGACCCCTTAGCACATTGCATTTGCAATTTTATGTGAGATTTAACCAAAAGCAAACGTAGAGATGACCGTTAATGTATGTTGGATAAAATTCTACTGAAATTTCTCAAGGACTCCACATTGTACCTGATGCTGTTTTATCACTTCTTAGCCTCATTATTAAGGCTTGATCTGCTTGGATTTGGGCTTTTCTTGATGAATAACCTATGCCTATTTCAGTCATTGCTTGTAATTCTCTAATTCTTCATCAGTTGGATCTGGGAATCTGTAAAGACGTATTCTTTTTTCAGTTTATTCTTTATTCTACGGTGTTTATAATTATTCCTTCGCTTTCTGCCATTCTGTAAGCATCTAACTTTTGGTTTGTGCATTTGTGGCAGATTTATTGCAGGGAAAAGCATCTTCTTTTTGTGCAGCTGGTGTTATTCCAATTACATGCGGGATACATGTAAGGTTAGGCTGTTAAATGTAGTTTAGTTTTCTGTTTCCAAAATCCCATCAATGTGGTCTACTTTGGAGAGTTTGGATGGATGTATGTGAATCAGAGCAACGATTGCACAAGCTTGCTGTTGTGGTTACCAAAAGGCCACCCCTTTTTCTTGCTGAAAAAAACAATGCACCACTCACTTCCCCACTGCCTCGAACAAGGGAAGTTAGTTCGAGGTATAAATCACCCACTTCATCAACACCTTCTAGTCCCAGGCGTTGCCCATCTCCAAACCTTGCTAGAACATCCTCTAAACATTCCCAGTTGATGCAAAAGAGAGCTGCATCGGCTGAGAGGAAACGCCCCTCAACACCACCTTCACCTCGAAGTCCATTTATGCCGGTTCATGATTCATCAATAGCTGTGCAGATATCATCTAGAAGGCTATCAACCGGCCGTATACCTGAAAGTTTATGGCCTTCTACTATGAGAAGTCTTAGTGTTTCATTTCAGTCTGATATTATTTCAATTCCTGTTAGCAAAAAGGAAAAAGAAAAACCGGTTAGTAATATTTCCTTGGACCGCACTTTGAGACCTTCTTCAAATGTGGCCCATAGACAACAGTCTGAGAAAGCTACCTTATCACGGAAGTCTACTCCAGAGAGAAAGAGAATTCCTCTTAAAGGGAAGAATGCACCTGATCAATCTGAAAATGCAAAACCAGTTGATGGTTTGCCTAGCCGATTGATAGATCAGCATCGATGGCCTAGTAGAAATGGTGAGAAATTATCTTCCAATTCATTGAATAGAAAAGTGGATCTGGGTGATAATAAGAATGTTAAATGTTTATCTACATCAGTTCCAGGAATGGGGTTATCTTCACCGAAGAGAATGCCTATGTCTGATAGTTTGGGTAAACCTCTACAGAAATCTGCTAGTGATGCTGCTAGGTTGTTATCACTTGTTGATATTGGTCGAGTAGGGCCTAAGGCAATTTCAATTGATGATAAGTCCCTGCGGGTATCTGGACCTGCTAGGCTCCTTTCTGCAAGTCCAGTGGACAAAATGATACTAACAACTCATGCGGTAAAATCTCAGTCGTTATCTGCTCCCAGATCACGACCTCAGTCACCAAATAGGACCTCTGTTTCTAGGGGTGTCAGTCCGTCTCGGGCAAGAACTTCCACTCCACCTCCACGAGGAGCCAGTCCAACTCCAAGGGCAGTCAGTCCATCTCGGATGAGGACATGCACGTCATCTAGTCAATCCCATAGCTCAACTTCAGTTCTCAGTTTTATTGCAGATTTTAAGAAGGGGAGAAAAAGTGCGAGCTACATAGAGGATGCTCATCAACTGCGCCTTCTTTACAATTGTTATTTGCAGTGGCGATTTGCTAATGCCCGGGCAGAAACTGTACTGTATATTCAGAAAGTAATTGTGGAGGTAGATTTCTTCTCTAACTGAACAACTCTGTGTCGACAAATATTAGCATATGTTTTGGTAAGGGAGATAATCTTTCATGGTTTGAATAGGAAAATTCTACTTCCATGATGCATTTCTGGAATCATTGAATAAAAAATTTCCATATTGTTTGCTTTGCATCACAGTCCACAATGATCTCTTTCCTCCTGTGATGAATTTCATGACAGTGTCATATGCAGATCCTGCACTTAGAGCTCTAGAAATGACATGGACACTGAATTTCCTCTTGTATAGTATGTTAAATCTTTTATCAAAGAAAAGTTTGATCTGTTATTCCAGGAAACTTTGTACAATGTCTGGAATGCTACTTTGAGTCTGTGGGATGCCGTGCTAAAACAAAAGATCAATCTCCAACAGTTGAAGTTAGAGCTCAAGCTGAACTCAGTTTTGAATGATCAAGTAATGCCTCTCTCTATAATAACATTGTCCTTTCATAGAAAACTTTTATTCCCCTCATACATGTTTAATGTTAGAAATGCTTTTATATTTTAAGTTTGACGTTATGATAATAGTTTATATGCACTTTTAATTGTGCAACTCCTGGTGACGACACAAGGAGGTATTCAGTGCTTACTTATGTATCTTCTTAATATCTGTAGGTCTAAATTGTTATATTTTAGGGAAAGGAGGATTCAAACTTGAGTCCTTTTGGAGGAAAGGTGGATGTCACTAAGCTATGCCTTGGTGCACTCTATACGTCTAAATTTTATAGTAATAGAATATTTATTATCGTATTGGCATAGCTTTTGGAAGCATCATTTAGATGAATAGAGGGCCTACTTTATCATTACATGGTTATAGGTAATGATATATAGCATTGTTGTCAGCCTCTGTCAGCCTCCAAGCTTCTTAAATTGGTGGAGATACTGACTAGAATGAACTTAGGGGACGTAGAATTGTAAATAATAATTTTCTAGTCATGCTAGCCTTTTAATGGGAGGAGGAAAGTCAAATCTAATAGATACTTGGAAAAGCCTTGACTGGAGGCTCATTCTGCAGTGTGCGTTTTGCCCCAAATTTCAGCATTTGAGGAATTAGAGGGGTTTCTACATTCGGATCCAGTCCATGTTTTGGTGCTATCAGACAAAAAGTACTAGTAATTTACTCCTGACATCTAATGCCAATTTGATCGGCACTAAAAAATATTTCATGTTTGAACTTTTCCATCTTGTTTGGTCCTAGGAACCTTATTAGATTCAAATATATTCTGCATCCCCATATTTAAAATGCTTACACATTGAGCAAGTTTCAATGGATAAGACAAACCATAAAATTTTAAGATCTAAAAAGATTGGAGGGGGGTTGGAGGGAAAAAGTTTCCATTAATGCCATAAATTATCGCAACTGACTCTCTGTTGCATAAACATGGAAGGTATATAAAAACATGAGGTGTCAAGTGTGCATCTGGTACTTTTGACTGTTAAAATTACATTACAACATGATTTCGAAGTGGCCTTGGCTTGATAACTATTATTTTTTTCTTCTAATTATTACTGTTAAAATGACATTACAGTTACGATTTTAGATGAACATTTTTTTGTCAAACTTTTGTATGGTGATTAATATTGAATTGATGGAAGAGAGAAACAATTTATTATCTACATGAATGATATATTTCATGTCTTATATTTGGGACAATTGCTTATGATCAACTGCATATGTCTCCAAAAATTAGATATAAGGAGTTATCTTTCATCCTCATGGAAATATCTTCTCATTTAAAAGTTGGAAGAATTAAATAAGCTATCTCAATCATTCAAGAAAACTTTCTGACATGTGCAAAAAGAAGAATATTTTTTGAAAATCTGCATATCAGTTTAGATTTTTTCCACTGAGCAAAAATTTGCAGGCTTTCCCTTCTAAGCATTTTGCATTAGAGTATAGGTGTACCAATATTTGCTGTTAGAGGTATATCTGGATTGGATTGCTGAAGTTGTACTGGCTTGTACATCTACAAAATATTGCAGCTAAATCATAATGGAGCTCTGAGTTTGATGCCATTCCTTTTTTTTTTTTTTTTTTACTTTTAATAATAATAATAATAATAATATATATTATTATTATTATTATTATTATTATTTAACAAAGTGAGCAATGGAGGACCATTTCTCTCTTTCCCCTCTTCTTCCTCTCTTTACCTTTTTCCTTTTGTGTGCTGCTTCATTGCGACCTACACTTTCTTTCTTGAGAATCTAGTAATGCTATATTTTCCTTTCCCATCTAAACAACTTATGGCTTTTAGCATGGTCTTTAGAACTCTGTTCCTGAGTTGGATTGTATATTGAAATTGTAGATGTTTTAACATCACTCCATCTGTCTAGGAAAAAAGGATGTAGTCAATGACAAAGAAAACAACAATAAACTATTTCATTTCCTTTCTAATCTATCAAAAGAGAGAAATAAATTCCAAGCACGCCTTTGGGCTTAGATGAGAAAATATTTGCGCAGAAATATGTTCAACTTTCAGTCATTCTTTTGAATACCAATTTATAGTTTTCTTGTGTCAGTCCAGAGAATTTCCACTATCTAAATGCATGTGTATACATGATTCATGCAGATGGGATACCTCAACAATTGGGCATTACTTGAAGGAGATCATATAAGTTCTTTAGCTGGAGCAGTAGAAGATCTGGAGGCAAGCACTCTCCTTCTTCCCATAACTGGAGGGGCAAGGGTAAGTTAGTTTACAAAAGTACTTTGGATTGATATCTGAAAAGAGAAACCTTGACATCATTACTGGATTTTGTACTCATCAGGCAGACATTGAATCATTGAAAGCTGCTATTTGCTCTGCTGTTGACGTGATGCAGGCTATGGGATCCTCCATTTGTTCTTTACTCTCAAAGGTATTTAGCTTCCCAAGCCACTTTTTTCCCCTGTTTTTGGACATAGATGCCTGACATTATAAGCAGAAAGAACAAATATCAATGCTGTAGTCTTTACTTCCCACTATTATTTTTGATTGAATGTCTATCAAAATATCCTGCTTTTTATTCCTTCTGCTTAATCCTGTAATGCTTTGATGTTTTCTATTATCTGATATTGAAATTTAAGATGCCAGCTGCTGGTATATTTTCCAAGAAAAATGAATTTTGGTAGAAGTAGAAGTTCTGTTTCTGTGTATTTTACTTTAAGGTCTTGAGGCAAGTGTTTCTTGTAATTTCAGCTTAGACGATATATATCTGAATTTTGAAAAGATTTTTGTTTCTTACCCTTCTTTTGTGTCTAATGCTCTGGCGAGAGCAATATCCCTGCTGCCAAATAAATTTCACATTGACAACTTGGGTTTTGGTCCTTTGCTGCTCCAATGTGCTACAGACTCTGGATTCTGATATTAGCATGCAGTCCTCTTGCTGATATATCTTTTTATATCTTGATTTCAATTCTGGATGCTTTAACTGTATTTCAATATCATATGCGTTGTAGGTAGAAGGAATAAACAATTTGGTTTCTGAGCTTGCTGCAACAGCTGCAGAAGAGAAAAACATGCTTGACCAATGTGAAGCTCTCTTGGCTTCAACAGCAGCTATGGAGGTTAGGACACCTTAAATTTGCAGAACTTTGAATTCTTGGATTAAATATGACTATAACTAGCATTGACAAACAATTAACCATAATTTTTTGCCTTGACCTGGAACTATCATTTGCATGGATCAAAGTTTAACCCATAGGATGATGAGAGAATTGACTTCTGAAACCGTGAATGGTATTTGTAATGGGTTAATTCATTACCATTAAATTAAATAGATACAAGCTTTTAGAATTAATGAACTTTCAAATATATGCTCATAAGTCACCATCTAAGCCTGCCTCAAAAAAAAGATATTTCTTCCAGTGTTTACCTATTGAACTCCTCCAAAGTAATTATGTGATGTTTATTTACCTATTGTGCTGAAGCGGAAATTTATTTCATTTGTTTGTGGGGACAGGTAAGAGTTTTCAGTATGAAGCTAATGTGTAATAGTGGCATGCTCAAACATTCATGCCATGTGGTTATTGTAGGTCAGGTTTTTCCATATTTGCTTGAAACTTACCCTACTTAGACTTGGGTGTACAATCAGTTATTAACTGGTTAAATGTTTTAGCCCTTTCCTACTTATAAGTTAAACATTAACCTGGTTAAATTTTGAAGTGTTATAGAGCCAATTAATGCTGGCTGTCAGTGATTCACCATTCTCTCTTCATTTTTTATGCACTTGGTCTTTTTTAATTCAATTGCTATAAATGTAGCCAATCCATGCCGATATGCCATCCCTATCAAACTGGCTGGCTAATGTCAGCTCATTGCTTATTTGTGCCATATGAGCTGGCTAAAATAGATTGTTCAATTTCAACGTTTTGTTTCTATTTTCATAATGCATATATTTACTTTGTCTTTTTTCTTAATGTCTATATTTGACAATGTTTTTGCTGTTGCTATTGAACAGTTAGAAGAGTACAGCCTTAGGTCTCATCTCATACAAACAAAACAACCTTTGGAGAGGAATAAGCAGCCGAAACATTTCCATGGCCCTGAGCAGCTGGTGTGCTAACAATCTGCCAATATATCATTTAAGTGAGATAAATTAAAAAAAAAAAAAATCTGCTTGGTTCCCAGCAAATATAAAAATCTTAATTTAATGGTAATTTTTTCTTTAATATTTTTCCCTTTCAAAAGATAGAGCTATTGAGATAGAGCTATTGGCTTCATTTTTCTACGTGTAATTTTTGTATCACACATTTGAAAAGAAAAATCCAAAGGAAGCAAAGGATTTGATAATCAATGTAAAGAAAACATAAGAGCGAAAAAAATGTAATAAAAAAAAGTTTTAAGAAGAAAAAAAAAAGATGTGGAGCTAAGTTTACATGTAGACTAGAATGGAAGTTTTTGTTGTGTACCCAGATAGAGAAACTGGCTAAACCATCATTTATCGATGTTGGATATCACAACATTTGCACACCCAATAGTCAAAGTTGAGATTCTGGAGAGAAACAATGCAATTTTGTAGTTTCGCTGAAAAAAAAAAAAAATATAAATACCTGAACTATTAATCTATCATACCGGTGGCTCTGGGCCATTAACTCTTGGACTATTGCCCTTAACCCGAGTATTCCCCAACTTCCATTTTGTGGATGTTGGATGCTTTTTTACAGGTGATATTGATCCGATTGGATTAAATTTAATTCAGATTTTTTATATTAAATATTATTATAAATTTTTAAATTTTAAATCTAAGTATGAATCAAATCTTTTAATTGAATTGAATTGAATTTTATTAATTTAGATTGTTTGGATTTTTTAATTTAAAATTTTATTTTTTATATTTTTATATAATATATTAATATAAAATTTTAATATATTTATATAGATTTTAATATAAATTTATTATATTTATTTTATAAAAATTTAAAAATAATATAAAAATTAATAAATTATGTAATTCGGTTTGATTTTTATTCAATTTTTTATTTTTCGATTCAAAATTTGATTCAAATTTAATATACACATTTAATATTTGAATTCAATTCGAATCAAATAAAAAAAAATCAATATCTACTAATCAGAACATAATGGTTTTGAATTAATTTTTGATTTTTTTAATTTTTTTCTCATCTCTATTTTTTTAATGAGATTGTTTTTACAAAATCAAATCTGAACTTAATATAAATCGAATAAAAAAAATCAATCTAAATTAAATTGAACATTATGATTTTAAATGAATTTTTTATTTTTTATTCTTTTTTCACCCCTATTTTTCTAACGGGACTTCTTTTGCAAGATCAAACGACCACCGTGAGTTTTTCCTATTGTTTGCCCTATAATGCTCAGGATAGCATAGTGAAAAAAAAGAGTAGAAAGAAAGCATATTAGAGAATCTTCCAAGAGAAGGGAGAAATTCTATTGATGAGAGGTATACTGCCCGCTAGCCTTGTATTGGAGGAGCAATTCCCAGAAACGGTTATTGATCTATCTCAAGATGGCCATTATGGTCGCAGAACCATGCGAATAATAGTGAATCAAAGAGGATGGGACGCATGTCCCTTGCTTTGGTATTTAACTTGAACCATGCGCCTAATAAGTATGATTTTCAAAATTTAGTTTAGCTCGACAAGTTTAAATTTCAACGGCTTCAAACTGCGACTTTTTTATAAAAAAAGTTATATTTTCAACATATTTTTCTTTTTATAAAGATTCATATAAAATTATATGGATTCCACGCAGACCACATTTACAGATAATAATTTATAATTGTATACAATTTTAATTGTACTAAAATGAAGTCCATAAAAAAAAATTAGCACGATGAAAAATTTCAGTACGAGCATAACTAAAATAACAAGGTCTTGGTCCAAGCCCATCCTGGCCCGACTTGGATTATCATTTTTAATCAAGTCCTCCGGTGTTTATATGGCCCAAACCCGGCCATGCACACATCTTGTTCTGTACTTTGACCTCTCTGTCTGCCGCGATTTTTAGCCGTACCTCAGGTATGACTGACGTAAATGGGTTAATGTCCAAAGGGCAAAGCCGTTGATTACTTGTTTTAAGCATTTGCCATGCCTAGCTTAAGCATACCCTTTCTCATAAATGGCATTACAGGCATTTGGTCTACATACTATCCTTTGCTACCCACACTGATCATTGGGCATTAACCCAACCAAACTATTCTTTAAAGGTAAAGAGTTACTCAAAAGTTAATGGTTTAATGAATCTCAAACTTTGCTCAATTAATTTATACAATTATTTTTAAAGATAACATACAAATAATTTGATATTCAAATTCAAAGATGCCAGAATGAGAACATGCAAATTTAGCAATTAAAAGTAGAGCTATTTTCAATTCAATGACAAAACTTGGTATAATGCATATAACTACACAAAAATCTTCACTCTAATTTTATTCTTTCTTGTGCATCTCCATTTTGTTTGTTCGTACATCACATACTTGTAAGAGTAAAGAATGTACATGTATAATCTTGAGAACCACGCATCAAAGAAGAAAGGGAAAACAAATTCTTCAGCAGTTGATGCCGCATCGTGTGGTGTCTGGTCCCTTGGTTTTCAACACAAATGGGTCAATTCGGACCCAAAGCAGGGAGAAGATTGAAGCCAATAGCACTGACCATATAACAACAATGGTTGGTGTCCTGTTCTGCCTCCCCATTAGACCTTTAAGGAATGGATAGAGATGGACAATCACCCAGAAGGAGAAGAAGAGCTTTCCAAAGAGAGGTCCCCAAGATTGGTATCCATTGTTTATAGCATCTGAGATGCCTGCAACAACTCCAACTAGGTTGATGATTAAGACAGTGGTTGGAGGAATCAGGAGGGTTGTCCATTTGAAGGCATACAATTCTCCAAACTCCTCATCATCCGTTGCCTTGGATGTGACGGTGAAATTTGTGTCAATGCCGGCTAGAACCTTCAGCAGACCTTGGACAACAGCAAACAGATGTGCTGAAATACCACCAATGACCCAAAATTGCTCATTTCTCCACCATTCCTCAATGCTCACTCCACTCCACCTTAGCTCAAGAATACCGGTTGCAAAGATTGAAAGAAACAAAGAAATGAAGAATAGACTTGCAAAGGTGCTTATCTGTCATAGGAGAGAATTCGACAAGAGTTAAATTTGCAGATAAGTTTTCTAAATTCAGTTATGTGACATCCATATTATAACACTCCAATATCACATTGAGATATTTTGAATATCATAACAAATCTTCAAAATATCCTGATGTGGGATTTGAAAGCCACAAACGATTAAATGAGAATCATTTATTTACCGGTGGCATGATGAATTTATCTGTAAGCAAACAGATTGCTGGAAGGGTACAATAGGCAAGGAGTGGTAAGGCCGTGAACGGGTAGATGGTTGTATTGACATATGCAAATCGCTCAAGCCACCTAAGATTTCCTCCCTTGAAGTCATACCATGCAGGGCAGTGACGACTAAAGAAAATTTCAACAGAACCAAGCGCCCACCGAAGAACTTGGTTGAGACGATCTGATAGATTGATGGGAGCTGAACCCTTAAATGCAGCCAACTCTGGCATGCAGTAAATTGACCTCCATCCACGGCAGTGCATCTTGAAACCTGTTAGGATATCCTCTGTAATTGAGCCATAAATCCAGCCAAGCTGCACGGACAGAAGGCACAAAAATCTTCAGATTATTAATTTTTAAACTTAAAAACCCAACTGTAAGAAGGTAGAGTGAAATTTCTAGCGGCTGGCATCACCTCGCTACCCCATTCCGTTTTGTCTTCATAGCCACAACTAATTACATGAATGGCTTCTTTAAGCAGAGCTGCAGGGCTTGAGGAAGGAGGGACACCACCTTCTTCCATCAGGGTTGATGTTACAAAAATGGCTGACTGTCCAAATTTCTTTTCAAAGTTCATCTGGGACATCAGCAACTCCTTATCATCGTCGGTTGCTGTTCATATATATATAAAAAAAAAAAAACAGAATTTAAGTTGGGTGAGGTGAAGGAACAATATCTATGGAAGCAGCTCAAGTGGAATCTTAAACACCTTCCAGGCTTGGCCCATTTTCATTTCCACCATTCTTAGAATACTTTCTATCCTTTCTGCGGCGTCCAAAGCACGGGCAGCAATCACAGCTTACCATCTTTGGGCGCTTAGGGCCCTTGGGAGGTTCATAACCATAGAGAGCTTGCCTTCTGAAAACACACCCTGTGCCGACATATACAGGGCCTTGAATACCATCTAGACCTTTCATGTTAATCTGCAGAAACCACGGAAAAAGAATTAAAAAAACACCATTTGACCATCTCAAACAGTAGGAATATGGATTTTTTTGCTGTCCTTACATCAAAGAAAACTGTGTTTCTATTGGCATATCGATCATGCCTGTCAATACCATCGAATCTTTGAGGGAATTGAACATAGCAGACCTTTCTTCCAATTTGAGGGTCCATCAAGAAACACATTGCCTCTCTTACAGCCTTGCTGTTGTTCACATAATGGTCACAATCCAAGTTCAACATAAAGGGAGCATTTGTAAGCACTCCAGAGACACGAACCTGAAATTTTGCACAGAATTAACATAATTATTATCACATAAAGCAGGGCTAGAGAGGAAGGGAAATTGAATGAAACAAAAATTATCAAGTGCTTAAGATCTTTACCAGGGCATTCATGGCACCGGCTTTCTTGTGATGCAGAAAACCAGGTCTTTTCTCTCGAGATACATAAACAAGGCGAGGAAGCTCGTTTCCTTCGGTATCATGGCCTCCACTTTGACCAAGAAATACTTGAATCATACCAGGGTGATCTTTAGTATTGTTTCCTGGCCATGGTGTCCCATCTTGCATGATCCACCCCTCTGGTGGAACCTTCTGAGCTTTTGCAACAAGTGCATTTATCCTAACCTTGAATTCTTCATATTCTCTCTGTTAAACACCAAGAAAAATTGAACTTTAAACAAGTCAGCTAACTGCAGCTTAAACTCCGAGTTGTGTCTTCATGAGTTCATATATACAAACCTTCATAGCTCGACGCTCCTTAACAAATGTGGGCTGGACTTTGTCCTTGAGGTAATCAACCTTTAAAGTAAAGTACATCTCAGGAGCTCGGGGCTCTATAGCAAATTTCTTACAGAATGGCACCCATTTTCTAGCAAATTCAGCTGTTTCCGACGATGCTTCAAATGTGAGCATGGAAGAACCATCATCAGAAATGTAGCAAGAGATTTTATCCACTGGATAGTCCATGGCCAAGATCGATAGAACTGTATTAGCTGTAACAAGAGGGGGTTCCTTCATGGGATCCACTGTACTGACAAAGATATCTACTGGAGCAAGCATATTGGGCTCACCTTCCCTCTCATACCTGCATCAACCATTATGCGTTTGATCATGGGGAAAAAATAACTAAACTTGAGATGAATTGATGATTGCAGTAATTATAAAAGATGTTCTTAAAGCATGTAGTTTTAGAAGATCAATTATAAATATTCTCTGAAGGTGTAAAATTTGATCAGTTCCGCATCAAAGCTGTTTCAATACTTTAGGTACTTCACTAGAATATTGCAAAATCTGTATACCTGAGGGAAAGGCGATCAAGATACGTCTCACGATCAATAGGGAACCACTTAGGGAACTGATCAAGTATCCATGAAAAGGCAAACCAGACTTCACAGATC